TAGGGTTAGGGTTAGGGTTATAATTAGGGTTAGGGTTAGGGTTAGGCACATTGGTTTTATTGGGACCCATGTTCTCTATCCTTGGGCCGTTAGGGCCAGGGTTAGAATTAGGGTTAGGGTTAGGCACATTGGTTTTATTGGGACCCATGTTCTCTATATTTGGGCCAGTAATATAGCAAGTACAACATTTAAGCGTTAGTTTGCGGATTAATTTTAGTGTTTGTTAATTGTAGTAACGACATTTCATTTGTGCGGCAGAGAATGTGCTTTATTTGGCATAGGCCTACCGAAGAAGTTATTAACCGCAAAAAAGTTGTCTTTGCTTACTCCCTGGAAATTGCCATAGTATGTTCTATAGCCCTGCGGCGGAGTGGAGGGCTATAGTTCTAGAGCTACCTCAATGCCAATGGCAATGGTAACTTTTTGAACTTTGTTTTCACCTTTTCCAACTGGTTACTCCCACCCTCCGAGTTGGAGAGTTGATCTGGACTCGCACTCATCGTGATTTAAATAAGATCCATATCACGTCATCAATCTTATATCTGTGCAGATGACGCCTAGTCCCGACATCATCTGATGTAGCATGCACATAGGTTAGGATTAGGTGCATAAACCAAAAACGTAAATATAAAAGACTCCTGTTGTTGTTTAACGCATCGTGCCTAGAAGGCGGAAGTCAGCGACGTTCCGGAAACGTTCGAAGCTCCCTCTATGCCTGGTATTCAGAATGATTTATAGACTGGTACCCATCCCTTTTCACAAGCTCGATATAGGGAGCTTACCTATATCGAGCTTGTGAGAAGGGACGGACGGGTACCAGTCTACGGCCTAACGGGAACCATTATGCATAGCGATTCAGAACATGAGTGTTTCTCTACTGTAGTTTCTTTTGTAAATTATATTAGATAGACCTACAGCTTCGACACCCAGATATTGCCAGACACTGTGATGTACTCTATACGATGTGATCTGCATATGTAGTACGTAACTCGAGCAATATGGAAACCGGAAAGGAAAGAGAGAGGGACGTAGATGAGAAACGGAGTGGAGACGAACGTAGACATCGTCATCGAGAAAAACACAGAGATAGGTCGCCGGTTAACAAGAGAGAATCTGAAAGACATGACAGTGGTGATAGAAGTTATACGTCTAGACATAGTAGAGGAAAGAAATCGGAGCGAGATCCATACGGTGATGATAAGCATTCGGGCAAACACAGCAGCAGGAGTGAACGCTTCCTTGACAGTGGGTGCCGATCGTCGCACATGGAGTCGTTGAAAAGTTCAACAAAAAGCAGATTCCTCAAACCCGGCGAGTCCTCCTCGGTGATGGCAAATCAATCGAAAACTTATTCGTCCTCAGGCAGCATTCCTGGCTGGAAGCGTAAAGATTTTGTGCAAGCGAAAGTGGTCGAAGAAAATCCGCACATGGAATTAATTCAAGATGAGGCAGTTGTACCTCCGTCTGATGCCGCAAGTAAAGTTGATTCTTTGGCTTTGCCAGCATATTCTAAACACGACCCTGGCCGTGGAGAGACGAGTTCCGACAAAAAATCAGCACCGCGGATGACGGAAGATGATCTAAACAAGCTCGGAGCGAAACTCCTGCGTGCTGAGCTTATGGGCAACGAAGAACTTGCTGCTAAGCTAAGGCAACAAAAAGCAGATGCGCATAAAGCTATGGACGATGCTAAATCGGCGAAGAAGTCTGCTAACGAGCAATCGGGCAGCGACGAGAGTGACAACGATAAGGAACGAGAAGAGACTGGCAGAGTCTCTCAAAGAGAAACGCCGCTGGGCGGTCACTGGGGCGCTAGCGAACTCGCGCCGAAAAGAGCCGTCTCGCAGCAGCGAAAGTTCGAGCGCTCCATCGACAAATGCAAACTGTGCTTCGAGAACGCCGACCTGAAGCGCCACCTGGTGATCGCCGTCGGCATCCGCTGCTACGTCTGCCTCCCCGCCCACAGGTCGCTCGCCGACGGCCACTGCCTCGTCGTTCCCATGCAGCACGTTGCCGCGACGACGCTCGTCGACGACGACGTTTACGCTGAGATGCAGATCTTCCGCAAGGGACTGACGCGCATGTTCGCGGATCGCGACGAGGACGCCGTCTTCATGGAGACGTGCGCGCGGCCCGGTGCGCAGCGGCACATGCACGTCGAGTGCGTGCCGGTGCCGCGCAGCGACATCGACGTTGCGCCGGCGTATTTCCGCAAGGCGCTCGCCGAGTCCGACGCCGAGTGGTCAGACAACGCGAAGGTGATCGCGCTGACGCAGGAGCGCGACGTGCGCCGCGCCGTGCCGCGAGACTTCCCGTTCTTCGCCGTCACGTTCGGCGACGGCGGCAGCGGCTTCGCTCACGTGATCGAGGACGAGCGCCGCTTCCCGGAGTACTTCGGACGCGAGGTCGTCGGAGGGATCCTCGGCGCGGAGCCGCGGCTCTGGCTGAATCCGCCGCGAGAGAACTTCGACGAGCAGCGGAAGAAAGCTCTGCTGTTCGCCGAGTGGTGGAAGCCGTATGATTGGACGCATAGGATAAGGAAGGACAGCTGAACGCGTAGCGATCGACTGCGCACGTTTCAATGTGCAAGTGTATATATAGAAGAATGTTGGAATAATTTTCTCCGGTCGTCTAACGTCATCTGTTTGTACGTTTATTGTGCAACCTCTCTGTTCCGGGGAATTTTCCCTAGGCTAGGCCATAACAAATATATTGTTTGTTTGCCCTCACCCGACCGACCCGCCAAAAAGGGACCGACTCAAAAAATGTTATTGATCTTTCCCATCCTTTTTTTTTTACAAATTGTATCACATGTACATTATATAGATCTGTAGGCAATACATTATACGTGCCAAGCAAAACAAACATTCAACATAAAAGGTAGCACACCCGAGCATGTAGACACCATGCTGAATTTGTAAAAAAAAAAAACTATAAAAAAAGCCTACTTACCCAAACTTTTCAGCCTGGGTCAGGTGAGGGCAAACAAATATTTTTTTAATTGTGGCCCTAGCATACCTTGATAATTCTGATCGTTAATACTAAAACTTCTTTCTATCTAGTATGATGAATGAAAAGTGGATTGATGAAAAAATAGTGATGATTCTGAAGTACATGCAGAGTATCATTGGAAGCGAATGCTAGTGACTCACAGGGATTTGGGACAATTTTGTTTGACATGAAAATATTTTGTATTTTTTCTCTCTGCCAACACTGTTGACACTAAATGTTCGTAAGATCAGAAGGACACAATAAAGACATTCGTATACTTTTGAGGAGATGTGATAATGCTGGATTCCTATGCCAAAGTACATGGTCGAAACTGAGCTTTTGGCCTAAGCTATTTTGGAATCAACGTATATCAGTGCAGTGATAATATCAGATAGCCAATCACAACTACAAATTCTTGTACAAAGTATATTTTATCCTTTTTGCGATGACAGTAATAAGGAGTTAGACCTCTGTAATATAATAATTGAAAAATTGAACCGGCAACAACAACAGGAGATTGAATGAATTATCAGATTTCATGACAAACAGTAAAATTACCATTAGTGTACAGGATTGTGAAGGGCAATATTATCAGGTGTCTATCAATATTGATAGACTCCTGATATTAATAATAAATTATCTAGTAGTGTTAATTTTCTATACGTACTTGATTTTTGCACATAGTAATAGACTTTAGTATAGTGTTATAAAATGCAATTTCCGTAATAATAATACGTATACACTGTTGGCGCACAAAGCAAGTGCATGTGTAGCAGAACAAATGAATTAACAGGCGGAGATGGCCGTTCTGTCGAAGAAGTTATTCCAGTGAGCTAAGAGCTGCGGGCTGGAGGTAGAGTGAGATGGAAAGAGGTATGGTGAGCTGGCAGGAGGCAGAGTGAGCTGGAAAGAGGTATGCTGAATTTTGCAGAAAGTAAAATTACAACGGTATTTACGTAAGCATTTTAGTGTGCGCGCGCGTGTGTGTGTGCGCGCGCGTGTGTGTGCGCGCGCGTGTGTCCGTGTGTGTGTGTGTGCGTGCATGCGGCTGAAACGAAACGCAAAATGAAACCAATTCAGTAGCGTTGGCAAGATTCAATTATGTTCGATTCAAGTTTGGTCTGAGTAGAGATATCGCGTTCCAAAATTGAGAGCGCGTGTTCCTGCAGTACAGACTCCCGCGACTCCAAGTAGACTTTAGACTTACACACTTTCTTGTATATATACAGTAACTATAACTATGTATATGTAACTGTTACAAGTTATAACCGCATTATACGTTTATTTAAGAGAACTACCTACACACAATTCGTTGCCGATAAACGCAATCTTCAAAGTTTCTTCCAAGCTATACGACTGGATGGTAGTTGTTAAAAAAGAGAGAAACCATTCCATAACTTCCACACTATATATACGCACATACCGTACACGCTAGTGTCGTGAGAACCACCTGCGAATTTATTCTATACATTTAGTCCTTGTAGTATTACCAACACATAACAATGCATGGCTATTTGGTACTATACTATCGCAGGTACAATATACCTATATTACGATATATACATCGATAAAACAACGTCTATATGGGACGATACTAGAAAGCATTTCTTTACCAACGAAATGATACCAGCACATATATATATATATATATATAGAGAAATATATAAATATAAAGAGATTATATAGATATCGATATCAGGGGCGTAGCCAGGATTTTCAAAGTTGTAGGCACGACTATCTGAGCGGAGCGCCACCATCGGTTGGCGCGGGGCGTACAAGAAAATTTTTGGTTTTACAAACCCCCCAGATGGCTGGAAACGGCCCTTCCGAGTGTTCATTCTGGTTCCCTGGCCTCTTGCTAACTTGAGACACCTAATTCAATATCACTTTTAAACCCAAAAAACACAAACGAGTTAAAATGTTAAAAAACTGACAAGAATGGATCCTAGTCTTTTTCGGCGGGTAGAGTGTTGAATGAAACGGCACGCGATAGAAATGACAGCCTAGATGACAGAAGAATAGGTCACCTAATTTAGCCATATTCTTGCTACGTTCATTTCAATAGTTTTTCCTGCCTAGACTCTTAAACTCGTCCAGCAAGCTTATGGATTGGAATTATGTGTGTTTAAAAAAAAAATATAACTTGGCCAAAAAAAGTGTAGGCCCGGGCCGACAGTGCTACATACTGGCTACGCCCCTGGATATAATTACGTATATAGATATATAAGCGGGTAATCATCCGTGTTTTTCTCTTTATATATAGTTACCCGTTATTATATTTAGGGGGTTCAGAACGAATTACACGCTCTTTTAAAGAAATCGGTGAGATTTTTACCTTAAAATTCAGTTTTAAACAAACAGCAAGGAGAGTTATACATGCAGTATAATCAAAGTAGTTCCTTTTTGATCAAATAAATATATATAACGCACACATACGCACGCGCACATACAGGCGCACACGTATGTGCGTATCTATTGCATAGAAACTGGGATAGAACAATATTCAAATTCCATAGAATTGTATGCGACGAAACACCGGTAAAATCAAACATAATTCAAGCATATTTAAATGTATTGTGAACACGGCATAAAAATGCTGAAACAACACTTGCCATAATAAAATAAAAATTTCCCTGGGAATTAATCTTGATAGCCATAGGTATACAATGATGCAAAGCGTAAAAAAGAATCGTAAAAAAATAACCAAAACTAATTTTGAGACGTAACTATCTATTTGCTGCAAAATTGCTCTATAATTATATTCAAAATAAAATGTGGTATAGATTTCACAACCAGAACAATTAATTGAAATATTGATCTATTCATGTAGCAATCTATACTTAAATTAACTTTCACTGTTTGTTTTCTGACAATATGCAGGTAGGCGACTATTCCTATAGTGAAAAAAGAAATAGCAAAAGGCATGCATATATATTTGTGCCCGTTATGCAATTATGTCTTTTTTCGAGACAGGACAGTAGCTCGGTTACTGTACAAAGGCAAATAACGCGGAAATGTGTTCCATACGTAGTTTATTGACCGGACATTTCACACGGTTTTAGCCATATCACTTACACATACGTTACGAGAAGAGCGCGCACTTTTCAGCATACGGATAATTCCGTACATTAGCACTCGGTCATTCTCGCTGCATTTCTAACGGACGATGTCACAGGCTCATGTCTGCGACCGTAATACAGTTGGGGGGAGGGGATATTTCGTGATCGTATATATAACGTTACATAACGCCTCCTCACGCTGGCGATCGGCGAACAAGCTCGCGTACAGTCTGCTCGCTCTCGTACCACATAGACCTACACCTATGCTTACACCACGCGTCACGGCCACACCATATATATATATATATATATATACTGTAGTTGCACCCCACCTATCGTAATGTCCGCTGCGTACAGTATGGTGATTTTCTGGGGTGATTCTATCTTTGGATACAATTATGGCGCTGGGATATTTTATTTGTGGACTTTTATAATTTACATTTGAAAATATATACAGCTCTGAATTCATAACACTTCTTTGGCATAAACACGAGTAATTAAATATCGGCTTAACTCACTAGATCGATTATAACCACTATGACAGAATACCGGCATGAATGCTTAATCACATGGAATAACGTAAAGCTTAAGCTAAATATTTGATATTTTACAATTTACGATGGCGCCATACTTTCATATTTTGACAGACAGTATGCGGTGAATGACCAAAAATGATCTCAAGAACAATTTATGAGATAACCAAAAGCATTTTCAAATGTGGTAAAAGAACTACGATGACCCGGCAAAAGAATTATCACACAAAAATGAAATTGTTAGAATGTCTGCTGTTGTCGAATGTTTATCTATATTTACACATTACACGAATAAACCTATTCTCATTATGTCTATGCAGCTATGACGTAGTAGACGATTTACACTGGGCTATAGCGGTATTGCCATTTACGCATATTAAAACTGAGACTGTATGACAAATTCCAATCATCGTTCGGCCATTTTGTTTCAGGAACTTGCTGTAACTACTAACTAATATCAATCATTTACCATACAAACATAGGCGTATACATATATAATAATAATTACATTTATCTCTCTGTTTGGTAATTCAATGTTTACAAATAGCACACACTTCATCGTGTAGGCGTATACAATACAAAGACATACACATTTACATATAGGCTCTACCTATGTAGCCGCTCGCTTTGCAATAGGGACAATTTCTATTGCGGAGCGAAAGGCTTCACCGGCAGAGCTGTGTACACATATGCATATGTAAATACACATATACATGCGCATATGAGCATGCACATTTTATATACATATATACTATATTACCAATTAAGTTCGGTTCAGTAAGACAATGGTGATAAACCATTAATAATGAAATAATATATCGTATTTATCATACCATTCTTGATAATTTAGTTGTTGCAAACTACGAAGCAGATATAACAAATTAGATACTTCGCAGAATGTGTTGTATTGGAACGGACCCTATCGTTTTCTTGAAAAATATTTCCTCTACAATTGTAGCGGGAATGTTCTTTAAACAGGGGAGAAGCAACAGTAATTTACCAAACTTAGCTGGCTGATGTACGTAGGCGGACGCGCAGTACTGGGCTAGGGTTAACTGTGCCCTCTCCTGCAGTAGTTGCACCCGTTTGGAGTCCGTCAGGGGGCGATTACAATCTGCGTTTCGAAAACAGAAAAAATGTTTTTTTTCCCGAAATCATCATTAAACAAATACACACACGCGCGCACGCACGCACGCAC